CGAGTTGATATTTGATGCAGCTATTCCATTCCATTTTTAACATCTAGACCTCAACCAACGTACAACCAACTGAATTGAAGGCCGCTTTTCATTTTGCCACACGTTCTTTCGTCAGAGCACACAAGAATCACCCTGCTTTGAAATTAAAACTCCTGGCCTTTAGTGATCACAGAAGAGGCGACTCTCTTAAAATGTAACACTTTGTTGATATCGTTTAAGGCGCATTTACACCTCTGGCTTATGATTACTTCTTCAGCTTCTTCAAATTAAGCGTTTATGACTAGTTGGCGCAATCAAAGTCCTCTACCACATTTATTGTCTTGCCTATCAAATTTAAGAGGCGATCGTGCCAATTGGAGTAAATTTGAGGCTCATTACATATTTTTGTAAGTGGCCAACAATGAGGCCATTCCGCTTCATTCCTCATCAACCATACTCATGAATGGAAATTGGCAGCGGCTGCTTGGATGTTTCTATCAATTGCACAGGCTTTAACATTTGATATCGCGCATTCTAGGTGGAGGGTGATTGCCGAGATATCTCATACCACTTCTTTGCCATTGCTTGGCGTAAATCATAATCTTTTCAACTTCGCTTTTGGATCACACCATAGTGCTTTATCAGCTAGACTCTACTAAACAACCTTCGTCTAGCTGAAAAATCTACCTATAAGTTTTCGTCTTAATACCTAATAATCAAAACCTCTGTTCGATTTTACCATTTGAAACTTCGAAGCCCCAAACTAGATGAAGGTTTAAAGGGTCAGTTGGTCAAGTTTAAGATTACCTGGATATCTTTAAATTCACTCCTTCCTTTGCTTCCATTTCCTTTTCTCCTTTGTCTTCCTATTAAAGCTGCTCCAGTGTAGAAGAGTCCACTCGATATCACTTTAATTGTATGCAATGGAAAACAATCATCCCATTCATTCTTAGGAGTTTTCTTCTCTGTCCACTGTGATTTGTGATATTTTTTAGATTAAGGTTCTTGATTTTCAATTTGGAAGCCTAATATTTATATCCTCTAACCGTTTTCCTTTTCATTGATTTTTGGATGAAATTGTAGTAGAAATCTTTGCTATTGGGTTGGCAACTAAGTCATTGTCGTTTTTGTTGACGGATTCACTCTATACTTTCTTTTGTTTTGTTAACATAGCCAGAGCATCTAACCTATATTTTTTCTTACTGTATGGGCTTCTAGGTTAATTAATAAAAAATTTTTTTGTTTAGTTCTTTAGTTTTGTTTTTATCCCAATTCAAAAATGAAAGAACAGGACATGCACTTCCGGCACATTTTATTGTATTACTTCCGAAAAGGCAAGAACGCATCGCAAGCACAAAAGAAGTTATGTGCCGTATATGGAGATGAAGCCTTAAAAGAAAGGCAGTGTCGAAATTGGTTTGAAAGATTTCGTTCCGGTGATTTTTTACTGAAAAATTCAGAACGATCTGGCCGCCCAGTCGAAGTGGATGAAACCCATACCAAGGCCATTATCGATTCAAATCGTCACAGCACAACACGAGATATTGCAGAGAAGCTCAATGTGTCGCATACATGCATTGAAAAAAAATTAAAAACCCTTGGTTATGTCAAGAAACTTAATTTATGGATCCCTCACCAGTTAAATGAAATTCATTTGACGCAACGGATTAGCATCTGTGATTCGCCGCTACTGAAACGCAACGAGAATGATCCATTTCTGAAGAACTTAGTTACTGGCGACGAAAAGTGGATAGTTTATAACAATGTTATTCGCAAGAGATCATGGGTGAAGCAAGATCAACCAGCCCAAACAGTATCAAAAGCAGTAGAGATTCACCAAAAAGATTATGCTGCCAGTCTGGTGGGGGGATCACAAAGGAATTTTGTATTTTAAACTCATGCTGCAGAACCAAACGATAAATTCAAATGTGTATGTTGAAGAACTCGAAAAACTGAAGGATGCAATTGAAGATAAGCGGCCGGCATTATCACATCGGAAGGGTGTTGTTTACCATCATGATAACGCAAGGCCCCCAACCACACATCTTTGGATACTCGGCAAAAATTATTGGAACTGGGTTGTGATGTTTTGTCACACCCACCATATAGCCCTGACCTTGCGCCTTCGGATTACCATTTGTTTCGTTCCATGCAAAACTCTTTAAATGGTAAAATTTGTAACAACGCGGNACCTCAAAATTCAATGAACCATGATCCTTTCACCACTATATTTCCCTGATCACGACGCTCAGTCAATCTGGAAAGAAGTATTTGCATCTAAATTTGAAATATTTATTTTAACGAATTTCATTTTTTCGTTTCAAGGCATTGTGAGGCGGTTTTAACTATTTTTTGTTTCGATCTTAGAAAAATCCTACACCAGAAATATTAATTTCAATTGTTGACATAATTAGTGCCTTTTGAATGATACAGGAATGAATGGTCTTTGTACCAGCTTACTTATATATATATATAAGTAGAGTTTGAGTATAAAGAATCGAAACAGTAAACGAATAATAACAAAATTAGGAAAGAAATCAACTTAATTTGCGTAATTTACTTGCACAAGTTGGCGGTTAACCTTGTAGCGGATTGCTACACTAGTGAAGCCTGACTGACTCAGAAATCTCTATGGCAGATTCACCAACATCTAGCTAGACTCCCATAACCAGCTAAGCTATAGCCCAGATATAAAGGAAACAGACGTGCAGCAAGGAGCGGGTTTATTCAGTGAGTATATTGCGGATCAAGTGTGTACACGCGAGGAGCTACTCATGATCAGATGGGGGATTAGGTTAAGCAGAGGTTAATGATTGGTCACTGTTTGTACGGTCGCTGCGCACAGGGTTGTACGGCCGCACCTCCCAATCCTGGCGAGCAGACATGCAGACATACGATGACGCACAGAGCGATAACGTGTCCCACAACCTATTTATCCTCCAGTAATTAGGTGGGTCACGTCTTAAACTGTGAAAGCTCAGGTGAGGGAAATATTGTCGTTTCTAAACTTACTCATTCTAATGAAAAATATAAAAAAAAATGAAAATTTTTTTAAAGGTAACAAAATTCTAATTCTTTAGAATGCTCCAGTGTGGACAATGCTTTACTTTTAATCGTCGAATCAATTTGAATGGCTATTCATTTTTCTCAGCAAACCGATTTAATTCATGAGCATAAAAGATCAGAAATTCGAATTAACTTATTGATTACAAATCTTGAAATTCTGAAGGGGAATAAAATTACATCATTTAAAGCACAGCGTGAAAATATCACGTTGTAACATAATTGGATTGTTGAATGAATCTCGACTAGCTAAATAATAACCTTTTGTGAAACTCGATCCGATAACTGGGGCTTAAATCGATAATGAGGATTTTTGTGAAAATGGCGAATGGTTGACGAATGTCCACTACTCATGAACTCAATAAGCAGTTCGGATTGTCTCTGATGGAGAGACATAAGTTACGAGTGAGATCAAAAGGCAATTTTTTCAAATTGACAAATGCAGACAAGTACAAAATTTAAAATAAGCAGAAGTTATACCGTCAACTCTAATTCACTCGCCTTTGGGTACTCGAGGTACTAACAAAAACTAACTAATTTAGTGCTATAACTTAGTGGAACACTAAGTTGAGGAATTTGCTGGCCAAAATGATAATTTGAATTTAAAAAAAGGGGCATTCAACTGTGCAGTTTCTCAAAAATCGATAGATCAGAAAAGAAAGATAGCCAGGTGAATCAGATAGAGCCAGCGGAGTTGTCAAACTGCTAAGGTAGTTATTAAGAAGGCAAAAGTGACGTTTAGCAATAGTATTCATTGTCATGGTTTTTGGTATGTGAAGAGGAGGGGGGGGGGGGGGGGGGGTATGGGTCGAGTACAGAGCTACAATGTTAACAAATCATGATTTGCAGTTTCGGATCGGTAAGATGACTGAAATCACATTTTTATCACCCTTTCGACGCTGACCATCTACAAAACCAGCACCATATACCATTATCTATGCCACAATTTTACTATTGAGCAGGTGAAAAATTGAGGCAGCTAGAAAATGAACAAGTGAAAGTACAGATTTTTGTGACTAGAATTTGCTTCTCCTCCGAATGATAGATATAAATTTATAGGTAATCATTGAAAGGATATTTAAGCCTTCAGAAAGAGAGGGCTTAGTCAAAGCCAATTGAATGATGAGAGGAATTGAGAATTTTCTTAGAACTGGAGTCATATAAACGGCTCATCTTCACATGTACCAGGTGAGTAAATGAAGAGACATTTATGACAACCAATAAAAAGATAATCATTTTAAAGAAAACACAAGGTTTCCAACACTGGAGAAGAAACTTTTAATTAGAACAAACAAACTTGACGAACCCTATGAAGACCAGCAGTAGATGGAAGGTGGAGAAATGAGACTGCAAAAGGTCAGAAATGGCTCTTGCCCCAGTTTTCGAAGACCAACAAACTTGATGATCGAATATCTGAGAACTGCATCAGACAAGTTCGCCCTGAACTAGAAAATGGCATTTCTTTCAAAGCTGATCTGAAAAGTGCAAAATGTATTTTGATCTAAATTAATTGCATCACAAATGCATATACAACTTCGCACAGTTATGATCCAAGATTTGAAGTTTGCTTTCCATACTTATTTGTTGTGTAGATTAGCCAATGTCCAACTTTCGATCAACCATCAAATCAAAAATTATAAGAAGGCAAGGAATATAACCAAATCCCACCTCATTCACATTACTTGGTACACATTGACATTCACCTGTAATCAACTGATACGAATTATTTTATAAGAGTGTTTTATTTACAGTTAAATGAGGGTGTCATATTTGCACCAAATTTTGGTCAATTTAATAAACAGCGAGCAGTTGATGAGTATTCATATTTATTAACCAATTAAATTTGAAACCTTTGGAGGAGAATAATTGAAGGAATTAACCGTGACTGACACTTCTTCAAGTGAGTATAAGTAGGAGAAACACTCCGTCATTTTTAATTAGACAATCTTCTAACCAACATGATCTTGGCATTCGCTCTTTCCTATCTCATGGTCATCCACTTCTCAGACGGTAAATTTATTTCAGTCAATTTATTAAATGAAATGCCATGGTAAATCATGTTTGTTGAAATTTGCAAGAAGACATGTAGCTGTACATGAAAGTGATTAATTTGAATACTACGACAATAAATAAGCAAAAGTTCAGTTGCTCCTAAATAAATTAAATCATGTGTTTGATTAACTGAGAAAATTATTTTTTTATTCTAAGCAGCGAGAATTGATCCGTGTCAATTGCCCTTGGATCCAGGATCGTGTTTTGGTCATTTTGATGCATGGGGCTTCGGTTCTAGCAATGGGAAATGCGAGAAGTTCGTCTACGGAGGCTGCGGCGGAAATGCTAATCGATTTCCGAGTGAGGAAGAATGCAAAAAGACTTGTGGTGGTTCAGGTACTTGAAATTATATTCAATTAAAATCTATGTTAGTGTCTTATCCTATGCTCAATTCATAAAAGAAGTAACACAACTACCTATTTTGTAAAACAGGCAGGACGAGGAGGAGGAAGAAGTAGGCCAGGACAAAGTCCGCTCTTAAGGCGAATGTTAGTTCAACGACAAAATCATTGAATACAACTTCTGCTTCACTATTCCCTGCTCTATTTACATTAACATGTTTGTAACTCTCTGTATTGTAAAAATCCCTCCTAATAAAATCCTCTTCTAATCGTATAAATATAATATGCTTTGCTCGCTTTATTGCAACTATCGCTTATGCCCTCACTTTTTAGAGCTTCTATAAATTCAGCCTCATGATTAGCTAGTGTGCTATGATACCGCATTATTGTGTTCTCCTGTTAGATGTGGAATTCCAAATGCAGAATTTCATCTTCAAAATGAGGAGGCGGTTGGTTAGAATTTTATTGGGCATTCGCATTGAATTCTCAAACCATTGACGCATATCAAAGTGCAGCATTATTATTACTTTGTACTACTTGTTGGAAAAAATTTTCACTAGATATGCTGCAAATTGCGAAAGAACTTTGAAAATGAATTGTGACTCACGGGATAATAATTAGCTAGGAAAGTCACTCTCATTCCCTGCATGAAGATTCACAAAGCGACTCATATCATAAAATATAGACCTTCATTAAATTTTCTGTCCATTCGAATTAATGAGTCTTCGTTGCTTCTTAAGTGGCAGGCCGTCTGCTACTCTCTTGTTAAATATGGTGATTTATCCTTTCCAAATATCGATAAAAGTAGTTATGATGCTTAGCAGATCTCAAAGTATCAAAGCAGAGAGGGTCAGCGGGTCAATGTTGTCTCGAGTGAGATCGTACGGTTGGCGTAGAAGGGAAATCGATAACCTGAAACCCCAATAAGTTAAGCACTAAGCAGGGAGAATAGCAAAGAGAATTGACAAAGTGTATAGAAGAGAATACCTTGATGAAATATATATCTTAAATATTTATTTATTTATATCAAATGGCAGGCGTCTTGATGGTTATCAATAGCCCTTTATTTGACTTCAGACTTCACAGAGGGGAAGGGACATCAAATAGAAAAAAGTCGAGAGGGGGGGAGGGAAGAGAAGAGTGTTTCAAAGATGTAAGTGACAAACACAAAGATAGAAAAAAGGTGAGGTGAGTACTGTGGAAGTAGTCTAATATGGCACAGCGCGAGGTGATGGCTAGAAGTAAACTGCCAGTTAATAGACTTTTTTGCTGTATGAGTATACGTTGCCCAGGGTGCACCACGTGGAGGTAAGTCTATTGTACGTTGCCCAGGGTGCACCACGTGGAGGTAAGTCTATCCTACACCCCATATCTTAAATATGCATTTAGCAGATCAAGAAAATATAAATGTCCTTAGGCCATTCCCTTTTCACCAAAAAAATTATCTGGTCTCGACGCTCCATCAGCACTGTCGCGCATAATAGTCTGAATTTGCGTAGAAACTCTATACCCTGAAATTGACATTTATAAATAACCATTGAGATGCTGAGGTTTAGCATCGATTGTGAATATCTTGTAAGTGCCTTAAATGAATAAAATCAGTTAGATGGGTCAGTTTAATTGTCACTGATATAGAATACAGTTTTTAAGGCCACAAAAACTGAAAGGAAAACTGGGAATAGAAAGTGGTGAGGTGTGGATAAGTGAAACTCTGGCAACTAGTTTGAAGCGGACCATTTTCATCATTAGGCCAGTTTATGGACTTTCTCACCTGGAACAAAATTAATGGACAAGTGATGATAGCAAAGAGTTGAAATACGTCTCTTTAACTTTGATGTTGGTGGCTGAAGGTTTGAGAGCGAGGATAAACATACTGAATAGACTCATGGTATCACAGCCATTGTTGGTCGTAAATGAAAAATTGATGGTCAGAAAGAGTTGGAAGTGTGAATTTATTAATTATTCGACGGGGCAAAAAGAGACCATTTTTACTGTTGACATTTCTGCTAACCTTCTCATTACTGAGGCGAGCCATTTGGCAGAATGAGCAACTGTCATGTTTGTTTTTTTGTTTTCGTCACCAATACTTTTGCAGGCCAATTTGGAAGAAAGATTCATTGAAGTCCATTCGTGCTATGATTTGTACACAATGCCTTTGAGCACGCAATGCATATTTGAACAATGAGCATTTGAACGTATATGATATAATCAGATGTCGTAAACTATCATTTCGAAATCGGCCATATTTCCAATACTGACACAGCAACACCACGCTCTCAATTGACATCTCGTTGAATGGAGCATGAACAAGTAGAAACCTCTAACTTTGTATCTCTTACAGTTTAGTTAATTCCTTTCACTATCTCATGCCCCCTCAAAGCATTCATGATCTTCTTTTATGAGTTTAGTGGTGCAATATGTATCGAGCACCTTCTTCGATATTTGATATATTTCATGCCATTCTTTCCCTTGCACCTACGTCTGCCAGTGAGATTAACGTTTACTTGCCCTCATACTCGTTTATTAAAAATGCATTGATTATTGTGCATTAGCTTTCATTCAACGTGCTTCTTTAATTTGATTTGCTACAACAGGACTCTACAATGTTTTGGCGTGTATTTGGAAAATCAAGATGGAATGAATTTGACAATCCATCATCCTTCCAAATTGAGAGAGACGTCATGACAGTATACGAAATAGTAGCAAAAATAAGAATGAAATACGCTTAATTTGAAGAGTTCAATTTCACATGTTGGCTGCTCATTAGCACTCTCCCCAACAATTAGGCAGACCGCGTCCTAACTTGTCAGATTAGTGTGTTCGTTTCAAAAAATTTAGTATGCAATGTAAATAATTCCCTGCTTCAACAATACAAGCTGTTTTTGATGTCTACAATCTTGACCCAACTTCTAAAAATTGTTTGCTTCATTATAACCATTGGATCGTTTTCAAATGTGATTAATTTGCCTCAGTAACCGATATAATTCATGAGCATGTAAGATCAGAAATTCCAATTAACATATTAATTCCAAGTCTTGAAACTTTGAAGAAGAGAAAAAATTGATTATTTAATGAGTGGGAAGACGAAATTGAGTTGTGACATTGTCCGATTGACGAGTGAATATCGACTGGATAATAAATAGCCTTCTGTAAATATTGATCAAATGACTCTTTAATAATGCGATAATGAGGTTTTCTGTTAAAACGGAGATTGGTTTATAAATGTCCATTAACTTTGAACGTATGTGGATTTCAAAGCTTATCTGATCTACCATGCTGACGAGTCCAAACTTGTATTCCAAAATTATACCCCGATAATTTTGATCTTTATGGCAGTCAAATTAACTGTGATGGAGGAGAGCGTTCAGAAGAAGCCTGATTCACGACGGAGGAGTTTAACGAATACTTCCTCGTTTGAGTGTCACAGAGCAACAAACTACATGGTCACAAATTCGACGAAAAATAAGGTCAAATGTGCTTGTGTTTGTGCATCTTTTTTTGCCGACTATTTTACATAATAAACAGGGCATATGGTAACAGAAATTAAAATGATCCAACTTGTTCATACAAAATCATTTTATTCCATTGATAGCAGTGTAACAACATTTACTCTCATGCACTCATGGCTATAAAAAATCTTTTAAATAAAACCATTTTCATCAAAATTATCACTTATTTTGGTAAATTTACATCCTTCCTTTACTCATTCTTACTAATAAAAAACTTTAAGTAAATTATATGTATTTATAGGTAAACATGTTACCATCATTACAACCTACTTTGGTATATAAAATGCGAAATAAAATTTTGATGAGCATTTGCATTTCAAGTATAATCTAATTTTAGTTCTAAAATGAAATAAAAACACTTCCCCGAAATGAAGGTAAATGATTCAATTGGAATAAGTTAAACCGAATTATCTACAAAATTCACCAATCCCGATAAATGAAAAATTGCTCCAGTTCTGCCTTTGGCTAACCGTTTCAATCTAGGTTGTGCCCTAATGAAACTTATTATTTTGAAATCGACCAGACGAAATGCAACTGGTTTCAAATTTAACTCAGTGGAATGCGTGTTTGCATTATTGAGTCAACAAAAAGACACCTCTTTACTTGGGAAAGAAAGGGATATTGAAATACATGGAAGACTTATTAGTTGCTATATTTGGCTAATTGTGTCATGTTTTTTTCAAAGAAAACGACTGACAACTGTAATAATTAAAATTTGCCTGAAGAAGTGAAACTGAACTTAATCTTTGCTCCTGTGGGTTACGTTATCGCTGTGTGCGTCATCGTATGCCTGCATGTCTGCTCGCCAGGATTGGGAGGTGCGGCCTCACAACTCTGTGTGCAGAGACCGTACAAGCAGTGACTAATCATTAACCTCTGTTTAACCTAATCCCCCATCCTGATCATGAGTAGCTCCCTACGTGTATTCTTGGTCCGCAATATACGTCCTGAATAAACGTGCTCCGTGCTACACGTCTGTTTCCTTTATAGCTGGGCTACAGCTTAGCTGGTTCTGGAAGTTTAGCTAGATGTAGGGGGATCTGCCACAGCGATTTCTGAGTCAGTCAGGTTTTAATAAAGTAGCAATCCG